TGAACGTGGGTCCATCTATTGTCCAGGTATCCATCTAGGGAATAAGTAAGTGAGGTACCTACTAATATTTGTTGAGAGAAATGCCATGAATCAGAGTTTGGATGCAACAACCCCCGACAAGCACAGAGTCTAGGTAGGAAAGCCAACTGCAAGCCAGTGTTCTCTGGACAGCGTCCCGTGAGCTGTGGAGGAAGCTACGCGAACCCCGTGCCATTGGAGCTCCACAGAAAGAGGGGCTCCGTGCTCCGTGGGGGAGAGGCCTGGAGGCTTCGTAGAGGAAAGGACTTTTAAGCTTGGGTTTTGAAGAAAGACAAAACATTTAAATGGGAGTGGGAGGAAGAGAGAAAGGCAGAGCAGAGGGGGCATTCAAGGCAGAAGCAGCACAGAACCCGAAAGTAAGGACGCAGGAGAGCGAGTTGAATCCAGAGAGCAGCCGTGAGTCCAGTGTGATAGGAGTGGCAGGAGGCAGGTGGTGAGGACTCACTGCAGTGTGAGAGGGAGAGAGCAAGAACTTCAGGCAGGGGAGTGACATAGCGTCCTTCACCTTGTAAGATGGCAATTTTGGTGCCAAAGCAGAGAGCTGGAGGGAATGTGCAATGTGACCCTGTTACAGGTCGCCACATAAGAGTCTGGGGGCTAAAGAAGGAATTTTGCTCTCAGAAAATTTACCCTTTAAAGACAGATTCCTATATCATTATCTTTTGTTTGGTATTGGGGAAATGATCCTGTTAATCAGGCCAAAGATTACAGAAGAGAACAGTGGAAAGAAAGAGGTGAGAGTAATCACAAGTATCTCTCTTTCCTGAGCATTAATTAAAACAAAGTGGATTGAAATGGCAAATAAAATGACTTCCAGTTGGACATAGGGGGCTTCCTCTTGTTCCCTTCCAAAGAAGGGCATCTCTCTGTGACATGGAATAAAGAATTAAGAAAAATAAAAATTGTTCTTTAATGGAGAAAATTAAAGTTTAAGAAAAACACAGTTCTTCCCATGACAGAAAAATTGCAGCATAGTGGTGGTGACTAGTAGGTCACCAAGCAAACTTCCCACTCAACTCTCCCCAAGCATATCCCAAGACTCACCGTCCTCACAGTAGACAAGTAGCCTTGGTAAGTTTGGAGACAGAATTGATGTTAAACAAATTTTTTGTACTCTGATTTGTTTTCTTATTGCTTTTATTATCTTCAACACTGTGAGATGATCATCTTTCTGAGCAGGTACTTTATCCCTATTTTGGAAAAGAAATTATTTACCTTCTTGTAGGCAGTGAGAGAGCTTCTTATGGACGAAAGCGAGGAGAGGAGCAAGGGGAGGGATGCCTGTGACTTCCCTTCCTCTCCTGGGGCTGTATCAGTCTCTGACAACCCCTTCAAATACTCTTCTGCCTCACCCACCCATGCCCCACCACACATTGTAGTACCACAATGTAAACTGACGAATGAAACACCTGAGTACTGCTCTGCCGGCAGCTTTGTAGACTAGGAAATGAAGTATAGCCCACACGTAGCCGCTTCAGAGCCGCCGCTAGCTTGGACAAAGGATGATTTTCCTCTAAGACTTGCCCTCTTCATATTGGACATTGTCCCTCCCTCTAGTCCCAGCGGAGCATTCTCTGTCTGCCCAGGAAACCTAGTTCAGTAACTCACATGGCATCTCCTTCTGTAGGTATCTAGTTATGCTCTGGAATTTTATTTTGTTGTTTTTGCTACTACTTATCAAAAATTATTTATACTGACTCTGATTCTCGCTCAGGTATAATTATCTGTTTTCTCCAAGTGGAGTCAAAGTGCCTCAGGGCCCTTTGTCTGCTTCCCTGGTGGGTCCCAGGCATCTAGAGCAAGGTCTGGCACACGGAAGGAAAGAATCAGCCCACCTGTGACATTGTGTCAGTAGCTACTAAAGGCTAACGTCAGAGGCTGCAGAGCCAGATGTGACCAGCAGGACTGTTTCCTCTGTCACACAGTGTTTGAAAAGCTTTTTCCCAAGTTGGGGATAGCCATTTAAAAATCTCATTCTAGCCTTTCTCAGAACAGTAGGAGATCTGGTAATAAGGCCACGTTCCTGTCTTCTTTTAAATGGGGTGTGACCTTCCCTCCTCCTGACCATTCTCTGTTCACTTCCCCATGCTAAGATGGTTGGCTCCAAGACTGAGAAACCAGGGATAGAATTCCAGAACACTGGGATTCTGACACTTGGCCCACAATTAGCTTACATGCTGCTGATATTCGAATTTGAGTTTGTGGCTCCAGTCTTTCAACATTCCCTTTGCAGATAACATATTCATGTTTTGCTCAGAGCAGTTTGAAGATGTAAAAGGTTTAATGACATGGTGGGACATTTTGTATATCGTGGTAGGAGAAATACTTTAGGCCAGTAGAGCTTTCAAGTCACACCCAGAGGGCAATTGCCTTTTTTGTCTGTACATAGGCAAAATTAGGAAGAATTTAAGTTTCTAAATTTCCTGAAGGCTTTTCCTCCCAAGCCCACAGAGGCTCTGCCATGTACCTTACCTCTTAGTACTTCTTTTCACATTTGAATACTGCATTTTCACTGAGCTATGGCAATCTAATGCTTACTTCAGTTAGAATAGAGTATTTCTTTTCACTAAATCCATGCAATGACGGCAGAGGCACAGACTGCTTACCACAGCAAGCAGCCAGTTAGGGAACATCCAGTGAGGGGGAAGGTCCCCAGAGGTGCCCCAGGAAGATGGCTCAAAGGAATTTTTCCTCCTGTTTACCCACCCATATCATTTAAAATCACTGAATAAGAACAAATGGCTAGTTTGCTTCACATCTAGGGGAACTTGATAACTAGATCACTTCTCAGTATCTGATCGGCTAAGCACCAAGATAATTCAGCGATTGCTACTAGGAGTATGAGAGGATGTCAGACAGCGAAAGGTGGTCATTACTATGACTTGACTTTACCCTCAAAGCCAAATCGTTTTAATATACACCGAAGTGTTTATTAGTTGGATTTTATAACATTTAGAGATAACAATGGGCAACTCTAGCCTCTCAGTCTTCCTTAGCTTATGTTCATATTCTAAATGTAAAGTTTTATTTTTAGAGAAGATGGTACTTCACTTGTTAAGCAAGCCTTATCCAGTATGTGCGTTATTCACCTGACCATTTCTTTAACCTACGCGTACTTTTCTACACTCAAGGTTACAGCAGGGAGCAAGCCAGCTAAAGTCACTGCTGTCCTGGAGCTTACGTTCTGTTGCTGTAAACGAGTGAAGAAATAGTCTGGCAGGCAGATAGAGGGTAGGAGAAGGAAAGGGGTCGTGGAGGGGTAGTTGAGGGTAGAAGAAGGAGGGGTAGTCAAGGGTGTGTGTGGAGGGGATCTAGGGAGATAATAAGTGACAAGGAATGATCTTTTATTTAGTGAGGCCAGAGAAGTGACTCTTGAGCTGAGTCCTGAATCCAGTAGGAGAACCAATCTCGTGGAGAAACCAGAGAGGCATTCAGGGAGCAGGAGGAGTGAGTGAGTGTGAAGACCCTCAGAGGCAGGTGCTCAGTCTGCTGGAAAGATGGGGTGTGGCACTGAGCAGCCAGGGAACAGATTGCAGGCCCATCTGGGACATTGTGAAGACCTTGGGTATGATGTCAAGGGCAATGGCAAGTCAAGCTGTTGGAAAATTTTGAACAATTTGGTAAAATTTCCATTTTCAAATCAAGGATGAAGATGATGTATCAATAATACCTGTTGTGTCGTGTATTAAGCTCATAGTATGTGCTAAACACTATGTATGCTATCTCCTTTAATCTTCGTAGCAGCTATATGCTAGTAACCACTGTGGTTATTCTCACAGGACAGATAAGGCAGTGACTAAGCATTTGGTCATGAGAACCTTGCCCACAATTGCACGACTAGTATACAGCAGAACCTAGGTTAATAAAATGGCATATTTAAAAATCCTTTTTGTTCTTCTTAAACCAGAGACAGAGTCTCCCCCAGGCTGGAGTACTCTGGTGAGTTTATAGTATATTATAGCCTCAAACTAGGCTAAAGCAATCTTCCCACTTCAGCCTCCTGAGTGGCTGGGACTATAGACATGAACTACCACACCCAGCTAAATATTTTTTATATCTTTTGTAGAGATAGGATCTTGCTATGTTGCTCAGGATGGTCTTGAACTCCTGGCCTTAAGCAATCCATGTACTTTGGCCTCCCAGAGTACTGAGTTTGTAGGAATGAGCCACCACACCCAGCCCTTTCTTTCCCATTCCTTCATTTTACATCATCATCACTTGAACTAAAGAATCTTAAAGCTCATATTTCCCACTTTTCTGGGCATTTGAAGAGTATAAGAGTGGTATCATCATATATAACACTATCATCTTTTGATTTTAGAGAAGAATATGGAAAAGAATCACCCCAAAATGAAACCCCCTAATCAAATAATCTTTACAGAAAGAACACAGGTTCTGAATCCGTTAGATTCAGAATTATATCTCATACCACTGATTTCCTTAGTAATATTATGTGATTTTTCTCAGTGCATTTAAAAGTAATTTTCTGACACAGGAGTTCGTGGGCCTCCCAAGAGGGCCTGTGTGTGGTGGAAGCAGCGTGTGCAGGATTCCCACGGGAAGGGTGGCAGCCAACACCACTGGAGTTGCTAAGCTCAGAGTGAGGGAGAGTGTGATGAACACAGGCTCAGGCTCACAAAGAGGCCAGCCGTAGTTAGAGTGACCACTCGTCCTGATCTGCCCACCATTGTTCCCGTTTATGTCTTTGTTCAGCTATAATTATTCATATCACTCTCAGAAGTGTCCCACTCTCAGAATTTGCCCCCATTGGCTCTACCTGTGATCAGGAAAGCAGCCATGATATAGCAAATGGATTGCTATCACAGGACATGTGATGGGGACAGCCACCCCCTGAATTCTGACTTACTGTGGTAATGAATGGGTATAAATGAAGCGCTGAAATAATGCAAAGGATACAATGGGAAAAAATAGTTTCAATCCTAATTATTTCTTTTTCACAGCCAAAAAAGAGTATAAAATGGAAGAAAGTCACTTGGAGAATGCTCAAAAAAGGTAAGCACCTCTCATTTGGCTCCAGTTGTTTCTTCGACTAGCCAATCTTTATTACCGTTATTGTCATGAAATACATTCACACTGTTATGCAGCTGGATCTCTAGGACCTTTTCATCTTCCCCAACTGAAACTCTAACCTTTAAATATGAATTCTGTATCCTCCAGCCCCAACCCCAGCCCCTGGCAGCCATGCTGCTTTCTGCCTCCGTGACTTTGACTACTCTGGGTACCTGAGGCAAGTGGAGTCACGTTGCCTTTGTCCCTATATGACAGCCTGGTTTCCCGTGGCATCATGTCTGACTAGCCACTCTGGGCCTTTTTTGTTCAAACTGCATCGATGGGCAATGAGGTACAGTTGGGAGCTGGAGTGAAAGCGCTGTAACACGACTGGGGATGTTTCTCCCCAGGAAACAGGGATGCATCCAGGAGTGACCCCCTGCCTCTCTTGTGTCGTGACACTTTTCCATCTGTCTGCCTCTCCCTCGTTACTCTGCCCCCAACCACTTCAGGGAAGTTGGGAACACTGATCCTCCTTAGCATTACAACTAAATTAAACTAGTTACTGCAAACACCTCAGAGACTTGCTTTTTCTTCAGATCCCAGAGGATGCTGTAAACCAGGGGCAGGTGGGGACAATGGACTGCCCTCAGCACAGTCTATGGAGACCTTGGGGGCCTCCTGGTTAGCCTCTCTTCACCTACATCAGGCCCCTTCCTTGCTCTTCCCTCCGTCAGTGGACACCACAGGGTCACCATCTACCCCATCCTGTAGAACCCAATAACCAGCAGCTCAAGTCCCTTAGGAGTGTTTCCTTTGTTAGTTGGCCGTGTTAATCACCTTGGTTCTTCCTCCCTCTTACAAGTCTGAGTGAGAATAGATGGGTGGAAAATCAAGATAAATTTTGCTTGTTCCAATTCTAAAAGTACTAAAAAATTAAATGAGAGAGAGGGTAGGATACAGCATGTGGAGGAAAATGAGCTTTCCCAGGGTGTGAGGAGAAGAGCTTCCCAGGTATGAATTTAAATGCAAATCAACTGTAGAGATGAACTAGCCACCATCTCTGAGGATGGCACTGTCTGCCCTGCTTTGACGGGTGCCGACCCCTTGCTCTGCTCCCACTGTAATTACCAATAAGATTAAAATGATGGAAGCAAGTGAAGGCAAATCTTAGACTTTTCTAAGTGAATACATGTTCCTGGATCGGGGTTATCATCTTAAGAGAATCACTCAAAAGTAACACAATTCCATGGTCGTGTTTCCAGCTCTTTGTGCCTCCCTGTTTTCCTCATCTTTACATCAGGCTCCTCTTCCCAACATGTAAAACTGGCACATCTGTGCTCCAGAAATACTCAGTGTGTAGAGAAGAGATGGCAACATGGGCACATTGGTATCAGGCCAGACAGAAATGCAGCTTCTAGGGTGAATGTCAGATTTCTAATACTTTCTCAAGATTCTTGCTTTAAGAAAGGGGGGCGGTCCACGCTAGAGGGACTAAAGCTGCTGCTGTGCCTTAGCTATGCTGAGGGGAGTCATAAATTTCAGTTGTCAGCATTTTCTGTGGCTTTGTGGGGAAGGTAGTCGAGCTTTCATGTCATACATGAAATACGTTAGATCCCATCTTTACTGTGGAACCCACAGTCATTTGGTTACACTCTTTAAGGAGGTTGTGGTCAGTGTTGCAAGATTCGTGTAAGATTTAGTAAATTCCTGTGTTTCATTCTCAAGAGAAACAGTTTACTCTGAGGCTGAGGAAGATTTGCTTTTCCTAAGCAGTTTCTGAAGACATGCGTGTGAGACACTAAGTGGGTGTGCTCTGCCCTGGCAGCTCAGCCCTGAGGAAGTCAAACGGGCTCTTTGATGTAATCATTGTCTGTACTTTAAAAATGTTTGGATGAGTTAAAAAGACACAAATCAGACTAGGAATTATAGCACAGAGAAAAGGAGTGAGGGAATAGTTTAGAGTGAACCAAAAAAAAAAAAGTTGTATAGAAAAACGTATGGTTAGAAATCAATCTTTTTAGAGTTGAGTGCTATTTTAGAATTAGCTGTTCACAAACAGAAATTTCACATAGCCTGATCAACCCTTTGTTTCCTGTCTATTGGTTGGTAAATCTCTGCAATTTTTTTGCCTAAATTTCAGAAGATTTTCAGTGAACAGTCTCCTGTGAATCAAAGGTGAATTTGGAATAAAGAGAGTTTCATCTAATATAGACCTTATTGGGTTCTGAAAGTTCATATTCTGGCTTTCAGCCTTCTCCTAAATGACGGGGTAACAGTGAAATCACATGAGGCACAATCTCAGAGCAGAGGCATCTTTGTCAAAGTTGCTGAGCACTCAAGCCAGGCCATTCTCTGGGACTCTGTTTATTTGATTCTCCTGGAGAGGTTCACTTGCTTTCTAAGTTTCCAAAACACATAGGGGGAAAAAATACTGGAAATTGGTATTTATTTTTGTTTTCACCTCCCCTGGGGGTGGTGGTGGTGGTGGTGGTAAGCAGTCAGGACCTCACAGATCCCAGGGAGGGAAAGGCAGCTTCAGTTTAGAGTTGGGAAAATCCAGGCCCCCAGGTGGGTGATATGCTTTCCTCGGGCTCAGTGGCGACCACCACATTGTCGTTCTCTGAAACCCCACCAGGATTTGCAACAGGCTAATCTAGACTGTGTCCCAATCTAGATTCTCAATAATGCCAGGGTTCTGAGGGGATCCATGAAGCATAATGATTGGACTAAACTATGTCCTACTGTAAAACTAGAAAATAATTTGCTCTTCTAAATCCTAACAGCAAAAGTCTTCCTCCTCTCTATTAGCATAGACATAATGTGCCAGGATGGATCTGTGTGGAAGTGAGCATAAGAGGAAAAATAATGATGCCCTCCGTGGGAGGGACGCACGTTATAGAATGGCGTCTATAGTAGAAACAGGGGAGAAAATAACTGTTATTTTTTAAATGCCTGTGTGAGTGGCCATGAGCCACAGAAGGGTAGAGGAGGTGGAATCTTCATAGAAAATCAGGGGGACCTGAGCTCTCCGTCCAGCTCTGCCACTGAATAAGGTCCTTTGGTCTCTCATTTTCTCATCTGTAAAAGGAGAACATTGGGAAAGTCAACCTGTGAGTCCCTTCCAGTGCCAATATCCTGTAACTTTTTAAGAAATGTATTGCCTATTCCTATAGGATAATTCTCTATTTATATATTCCCATGCTACGATCCATATAGTTTTCATTTTGAGTGAAATAAAAGTACATGCCACATAGGGAATGTTTGCTTTTATCAATATTTTGACTGCCACAGAATTAGGAGCCATGTCTGGGGCAAGAGTGGACATTGCTGAATTCTTCCATTAGTGGTTTTGCTCCCAAATATGTATGTTTGGAATTATAAGAGAGTCCCTTAAGAGAGTGCTACAGTTACTGCCTTTCTCCACTTATGCACTTCCAGTCTTTTAATAACTGGGAGCCAAAATTCCCTGACCAGTAGTTTTAATTTGCATTAAAAACAGATTTATTTTTTACAGAAGCACAAAGAATTTATGGGACTCGGAGCTGCAGCTCCAGCTTGGATCTCGCCTAATCGTAGCCATGGAATCAATTAACAGTTCATCTGTGAAATGTGATAAAATCTTATGAGATACATATTGCCCAATAACCGAGAACGAGATGAAAGTATGCACAATAATACTAACGGGCTTCAGGGTTTTACAATCACCACTGAATAGAGTTCCATTAGAAAATCAGTATTCAGGATGGCCACAAAAAACTTCTGTGTCTGAACAGATGATAGAGCATTGAGTAATAAACCTGGCCGGCCATTCCTGCTTTGATTAGTTTCCAACACCCTAGAAAAGGGGGCCGTTTATTTAAGTGTTCTTGCTCATGGTAAATGAGCTGGTGAGGCTTGGGGTGGGTGGGGGTGAGGGAGAAAGATTGAGTTCAAAGCTATAAATTGCTGCAAAGCTAGTGCCTCCAAGAAGGGCTGCTTGGGAGGCCCAGGTAGTCTGGTGTGCAGTGAGCCTTCATGAGGTAGGTCTCAGTGATATCTGAAAATCCACTTTGAAAGACCCGTGTTTTTTTCCTGACCATATTGGAAATCATTTTCAAAATCAGAAATGTTTTCCCATCCAAACATTGCTATGCCCGTAGTTGCTTCTATTTCTGTATATTGATAGCTTGTATTCTTATCAAGCTTTAAAACGGAACCCTCTTAGGAATCAGATCGTTTCTTTTCTTATTTTCCCCTTGAGAACACTGGCAGTCAGACATGCTGAGTGATTGATTCAAGATTACAAACCCGTGTATGCCAGAATGAAGGTAGAACTGATTCTCCTAATTTTCCACGAAACAGTCAATAGATGAATTGTTCCCAGTGGGCTATCTAACTGACTGTCATCAGTCTTACATGTGATCATTACACACAAAATGAAAGCAAGTAAAAAGACATGGATTTGACATAAAGAACAAACTCAAGAAGTTTTATCCACACCCCTAGATGCATGCAGAGTTTGTTGGGGTTTTTTTAATACAGATAAGATGTTCCCAAGAGTGTCCCCAATAAAGTTTCATTTCTTGGCAAATCAGCATGGGCAAATAAGTCCGCTGAGGTTTAAAAAAAATTGCAGTAGCCATGAGCCCAGGGTCCTGTGTTGGAGGACAGGCGTGTGGGAGACTGCCCCCACCGTCTTCTCTCCTCGCCTTAACAGGTTTTGGTGTTGACAGTTTCTCACACTCTACTTCACTCCATTTCTCCCCCTACCTGCTGCAGTTTTGAAACGACAGTAGGATATTTTGGGATGAAGCCAAAGTCGGGTGAGAAGGACGTCACACCCAGCTATGTGTTTATGGTATGGTACGAGTTCTGCAGTGACTTCAAGACGATTTGGAAACGGGAGAGTAAAAACATATCTAAAGAAAGGTAAGGTTCAAATGAAGATTTTAATTCCCCTTCAGGAGTCTTGGAAACTGCCTTCTCAAGCCTGGCAAGATGGCATATTTCTCACACATCAGCATTTTGGGGGAGGTGGTGATTTTTTTTCCAGATCAAGTAGACATCCAGGAAGAATTTCTGCCTCGGGGCCATAGGGAAATTTGGGGAAAGCTTGCTGTCCACACAAGCAGATACACTTACGTGATCTGACACTTTTCTTAACCCCTTCCAATTACTAACTAGTAAATGAGAGTTGTTCTAATTTGCAACAGATTGCTTCTCTGGGTATTTTCATGTTGGCCCGGGCTAAATGAGGCAGGCTTGCTGTCGCAGACAGTATAGACAAATAAAAGTGAATGCTTTTCCCATTAATATACTGAACTTGCATCAAAGGGAAATCTCTGAGACTCAGGCCACACTTCACATGGTGTTGAAGCCCCACACTGGATTTACAGCGCCACTTCTGACTCTCCGTATCCTGCTGGGGACATCAAACTGCATGCCGCTCGGCCTCTAGCAGCCTCCTGATTTTATTAGTTGGGGGTAGGAGAAAAACCTCAGCTCTGAATGTAGGCTGTCTGTGTGTGCATATCTGTGTGTGTGTTCGTTCTCCTTAGACTGAATTTGGCACTGTGGATCCAAAAAAAAAAAAAAGCATTTCTGCTTGAAATTGTAGTGATCAGGTCACAACTGTTTCATAAGGGTGTCGTGGATTTAAAATTCAGACGGGCCTTGCTGCTCCTCTTGAGGAACAGATGTATGAGAATGTCATTCAAAATGGAATGGAAGGGGGCAAAAAATTCTACAAAGTAAGGGAAATGATTTATTTAATTATAGCATCTGTATCTCACAAACAAAACCTGAAATACCACAATTCAGTATTTTTGTTTTTCACTTCATAATCAAAGAAAAAGTATATATGTAATGTATGTACACACACCCTACAACCTATTCTAATATGTTTTATCTTAAAACACTGCTTTTAAGAGTCTCAAAATTTAAAGATGTTGACCCAGTGTTACTAAATCTCTAAAATAATATTTTCCCAAGTAATTTAAGTTAAAAGCAAAAACTTTCTTTTCAAAGAAGTCAAAGAGCTTCCAAAAAACTTTTATCAGCACATCTTCCCATCAAGTACCTTTGTTAAGAAAATAGGTTGTTGATAATGACAGAAAAAAAATCCTAAAAATCTGGGTACCCAACCCACTGCTGTTGTCCTGCAGTCATTTATTTAGCCCTTTAGCAAAAATAAGCTTCTATGGAGTGAACTCCCCTGTGAAACTGAGAGAGCCCAGCTCCCCTTCCTATAGCAGGGCAGCAGCTGACGGTCACCACTCAGGTCCACACCTTAAGGCTGGGGAATCCAGCAGCAGGTCTGAACATACAGCCTTTGCTGAAGAATTTACCCCTCAGATTTTGAGCATAGCCCATAGTGAATTTGTCCCTGGGGCCCTAAAGAATGGTCTAAAACCAAAAAATAAAAATAAATTAGAAAAAACAGCAGAGGGTAATTAATTGCTCTTCAGTTTAATAAAACTGAAGTGCATTCCAAAATAAGGAGTTGTCCCCCTCACAGAAGTGTGACCAAACTAATTGTGGGTCTGCTATGATGGTGGTATCCACCAGTCTTTCAAAATGATTTTTCTATGGTTCCCAGCCACAGGCCTTTGTGGCGTGGCTTCCTGGGTGCAGCTGCTGAATTGCCCGCTTCACACTCTGTAAACCAACACCTTTACGGGGTCAGGACTTCACAAGACCCTTTTCCATTCTTCTCATTTAGCCATTTCGGGGTTTCTTCATTCCAGCCATGCTTTGTGAGATGCAGCATCAAGGTTTCCAACCTAAAACAAGGTCTCTGAAAGTTAACGACAACTGATGACATTTTTGGAGGCAGCTTGCTTAGGAAACCCTGTTTGTTAAGAAAAGTTAGCACGTGAAGTATGTTACTGATCAACCATTTAAACAAACTGATTAATGTCCACAAGTTTTCTTGTGAAGTGAGGGGTGGGTTTTTTTTTTTTGTCTTCTATCTGCTAAGAATTTTAGCTTTTTGACAATTAAAATTACATGTTCATTATAGTAAGATAAATTAGGCTAAATTGTTTTATTTTAATTAAACAAGAAACAATAAAGTTGCTTCATTTTGACGCTATTTAATGATACATGATACTATAATTTTCAATTAAACTTCTTGAAGAAATCCCATAAGTCCCATAAATTTCAGGAGGTAACATAACATTATTAACAAGAATAGTACAAAGATATTTGATTTAAAAAATAAAATTCACAACTAATTGAAAACCTGATAGCTTAAAGGAGAAAACTCTTTATTTTGAGATCCCGTAAGAGGAAATTCAACTGCTTGATTTTTAAATATATTTGAAGGCCACCTAATACTCCCAAAATTATCAAGAAAAATTAAGAATCAGCAGTAGTATTCTCAAAGAGACAGATTGCGCGTCAAATGATGTTTTGTTTAAACTACTTCTAAATGAAATGCAAGTGTTGCAAATTACTTTAGGTTATTTGAGGTTAATTTGGGGTGGTAGAGAATATTTATTTCTTTTTCTACTTAGTATGGTTTTCATGGATACAGGTTATCTTGGTGCAAAGTTGAGATGGATGTATCTACATAACTCGGTGACAACTGCCCCTCATAAAATCTAGAACAATCTCTAAACACACAAATGACTGTATAAAAATGACCAGTGTTCTTGTGCCCTATGAGTGAACAATAAACCCTATCACTGGTATCAGGGCAGTGTCTCTGCAACTGAGTAGTGGGGAATTTGGTTTATCTGCAGATTAACTACATTATTAGAAGAGTAATCTGCCATGTGATGATATATTAATGGTATTCAATTTTCCTTGGTATTTAAGCCAGTCTTAGGCAAAAGAGCAAAAATTCTGCATCCAGGCACAAATTCAAAATCCTTACATGCTATCAGCTGAGGAGCCTGTGGCCTTGGGTCCACATGTGGCCATCTGAATCCTTGAGGCCACAAGTAGCCTTCTAGATCCTTGAGGATGGCCTTTTGACTGAATCCAAATTTTACAGAACAAATCCTTTTATTAAAAGGGGTGCAGCAGAGAAAGATAAAGCTTTTCCTGCTTCCTTTGGTGCTTAAAAAGAACAATCTTAATCCAAAGTCTGGTCAGTGGTAGCTTCAGTCTGTGGCCCATCCAGTCTTTATCCTGAGCCCCAAATCAAGACACCCCGCAAGAAGGACATCAGTCCCTTCTCAGACCCCTTCTGGGTACAGGCAGTGCTCAAGTATAAAAAAGACTTCTAGAAGGAGAGTTGAAAATCAGACTTTCATTCTTCACTCCACCAAAATGTGAAATGCAAATAAGAAATTTCACTATACCCATAATTATAATTTATACCATGGGGGAATGGATGGTGACTTTGGGTTTTTTGTTTTGTTTGTTGTCCGGCTAAATACTAACAGGGTATTTATTTTAAGTGTATTACTTGCAGATATTATAGTTCATTAAGCAACTGCCATACCCTTGACAGCAGCGCTCACAGCTGTTGTAGGCTCATCCTGAAGCCTCTTCTCAGAGCTCCCTATTGCTCAAGTCACTTTAAGAGCAAGAATTGGGGACTTAGAGAGGCCATCCTGTAACCCATAAAGGAAGCATTGATTGCAGTGTAGACCCTGCAGGAATTCTTCTCTTTACATGAAAAGTTATGCTGGGAAAAAGCTCCACAAGGTAAAATTCTTATTGAATTCTGCTTTCCTACAGGCAGACACACATAATCATTTCAGTAACTTCCAATAAGCTAACTTCCTTTTCCCTGGCCCTCCACTGTATAAGTTACATGGTTTGTATATACTTACCTCCAAAGCAACTTTATATTTTAAAGGAATCCTTTAATAATACAAATAGTCACTCCCTCGGTAATTGGCAAAACTTTGATTTTCTCTACGTCATATCTGAAAGCAGTTCTGTGCAAGTATACACACAGTAACTGCCCCCCAAACATCTAACTGACAAATTATAATAATCACAAAGAAGAAAACCTTATTTCCCAAGCAGTAATTAAAAAATACTTCCACCAAATTCAAAATAGACCATAAATAAGGAGAGGAGATAGAATAAAAAATGGTTAGTATTATAGGATCCTTGATTTTTTTGCACACAGAACACATCTCTTGTTCCTCTTTCCTCTGAAACTCTCATTCCATCTCTTTTCTCCTCAAGCTTCTTTTAAAAGAAGAGTTTATATTCATTTCTTTACTTTTCCTTACCACACACTCCTTCCCATATCAGTAAGGGTAAAGTCTTATCTGCCATAATGGAGACCAAAATAACGTACTTAAACAAAGAAAAAAGTTATTTTTCTCCTGCATAACAATCCGAGTTCAAGGAGTTGAGATGTCAGGGATGCAGTTTCCTTCTCATTCCTGCCTGCTGTTCTTGAGGTGTGGTCCTTGTTCCCAAGGTCGTAGATGGCTCAGGTCACGTCCACCACCAGCACAGCCAGTGAGAAGGGAAGGGCACACCCTTTCCTTTTAATAGCATGAGCTGGAAGGTGCATACATCACTTCTACATTAAGCTCATTGGGCAGATTAGCCTCATGGCCATAGGCAAGGAGTCCAGGAAATGAAGGGTTATCTGGGAGCTCTGTGCCCAGATAAAGATTCCTGGGTTCCGTTATTAAAGGAAGTATGAGAAAGGCATGTCGAGACCATTAGCAGACGTGGCCACATTTCCTAATTGTGAAAACAAATGGCTCCTTCTAACTCTCTGCCACTGCTAGTTTTTGACACTGAGGATGGCTTCTTCTATCTTGAAATGCCCTATTGCTTTGCTAGTACACTGAGTCTCTTCCTGTAAAGGTCCTCCATTTGCTCCCCATTCTCTTCTATTCCTTATGTGTGAACCTTCCTGCAGTTCAGGTCTCTGTGTTCCTATTTTTCTGCTCTATCCCTCTCTGTAGCTAGTCTCAGTTATTCTCACAGCCTCACCTTTGCCCAGG